CTCTTTTTTTTTTTTTTTGAGAAAAAAAACTCGATATATAGGTGAGTAGTAATTCAGAGAAGAAGAAATAAACGCGACTGTCAAATCTACATATTCTCTCTCTCTCTCTGTTCTTCCATTTCTGTCTCTCTCTCTTCCGAAGATTCGATTCAGTCTCCGATCATTTCTGCTGTTTCAATCTCTGTTCAGAATCATGTTCTCAAATTTTCAAGGTACGTAAAAATCCAAATATAAATTATATAGTACTACTTCGTTTTAATTATGGGTAAGTTTCATTCTTTATGTCTTCTTTATTGAGTGTAGAATTTATATGGAAAATTTAATAATATCTGGTCTAGTTTTGGAAGTTATTATTAGTTCCCAAGTTGGTAATTTTTAACTCTGTTAATCGCTAAAAAAAAGCCTTGATTTTTACACATATCAAACACTGGATATTTTTGTTTCTATGCATGTTAATATTTTGCTACTTGAAATAATAATACAGCTCCTCATTTCTAGTTTTGTATGTTTTTTTTTCTTTTGGGTTTTATTCTTTGTTCTTGATTTTGGCTTCTTTGTTATTTAAGATTTTGTATTGGCTGCCTTTTTGATAATGCAAATGGTTTTTGGTTTTTGACTTTTTACTTAATTTTTTATTTCTAGCTTTTTTCTCATTGAGACTATTTTACTTTAGAAAAAAATGGTGTCTTGAAAGGATAGCCATATGAGAGTTATGGCCAAATTTGTACTGTAAAATTTTGACTGGTTATATCTGAAATTCTTTTTTGAAACTTTGAGCTTAGGCCTTTAGTTGGGTATAACTGAGTACACACTAAAAAGGTTCCCTTTTATAGAAATGGGTTCTGCTTTTTTACCTCTCATCATACCTTAAAATAATAAATAGACAATAATAAATAAAAATAATAATGATGTTAATAATTGCATACTTCATGTTTCTTACATGATTCAGATGTTGTCTCTTGTGCACAAATTGTCTATAAACAATTCAAGAAAAAACCTTATAGAGTATCATGTTTTGTCTGTGCCTTTTCTTGATACTATAGCCAAGTACATTTGAGAAGATATGATGATGAGTTCTCCTCAAACTAATAAAAATTAGTTTAACTTATATATATAGGCGGTGTAAAGAAATTTTTACACTATCTGGTTATGTACATATAATTTTTTAAATAATATTAACACAATCATGTCATGTAAAACATATTTACACATAAAAAAAAAGGAGTGCACGGTGCACAAAGCATCCCGTGTTTACGCAAGGTTCGGGAAAGGGCCACACGCTTGATATAGACAGTCTACCCTAACTCATGCATTAGTGGCTGGTTCCACGGCTCGAACCTGTGACCTATAGGTCACAGTGGCGGAGGCAGGATCCCCACGAAGGGGGTTCAAAAAAAAAATTTGTAGCTAGTGGGAATTGAACCCATGACCTTATGTAGATTTTAAACCCCTTTGTCCACTAAACTACACTTTTGGATTGTGTTAAGGGAGTTCAAAACTTAATATATAGAGGTAAAAAACAGATTTTGTCTTATATATACAGTGTAATTTTTCGACGAAGGGGGTTCGGTGCGCCCCCCTAAATCCGCCCCTGATAGATCACACGGAGACAACTTTACCGGTGCTTCAAGACTACCCTTCAGTATCCACATATATAACTTCCCATAAAAAGTGAAAATTATAATCTTAAAAATAACGCAGATTACTTGCTACAACTTGTAAAATAACCTAATCATGTAAAATCTATTTACACTGTCAGTGTATATAACTCATCAAAATTGTCTCTGTCTCTCTCTTTTTTCTTTCCTCATATTGTGTTTTTTTTTTTTTTTAGGATCTACTATTGCAGAGCCTGTTTTGAATTGAAAGAGGGAGAAAATGGAGGGGGATACATTGTCTGGATTAGGCAATGGTACACAAATAGATGACAAAGTTGTGCAAACATTTCAGAAGAGTTTTGTACAAGTCCAAAATATACTGGATCAGAATAGGCTATTAATCAATGAGATTAATCAAAATCAAGAGTCCAAAATCCCTGATAATTTGAGCAGAAATGTTGGTTTAATTAGAGAGCTCAACAATAATATTAGAAGGGTAGTTGACCTCTATGCTGATCTTTCAACTTCTTTCTCTAAATCTGCTGATGTTTCATCTGAAGGGGATTCAAGTGGACACAAGAGGAGCAGGCCTATTTAGAAGTCATGTATTATCTGACCATCGGAGATTTCTCGATTATTATGTAAAAATAATTATGTGTACTCTTTTAGTACATCAACCTTATATTCAAGAATCTCCCACAAAAATAATGACCCCCCC